CCCCAAAACCCCAAAACCCCAAAACCCCAAAACCCCAAAACCCCTTTTTAAAAAATTTCAATGAAATCTTAAAATTTTATTAAGATGGAAGGGAACAAGAAATTTATGCAAATTCAGCACCAGATTAGACAGAACAGTGAGTCTGTACAGGATTACGTTTCTGATCTGAGTAAATGGACTTCCGAAATCGATGAGAAAGATAAGGATGTTAAGCAAGGAAAAAGAGTAAAACCCACTACCAAAAAATTGCCTCCAATCCGAAGTAACAAACTCGAACAACAGAGACTCCAAATCAACAAGTCCGCTAGCTACCTCGACACGCTTCCTACACCTCAAAACCCCTCTCAGGAAAGAGCCTAGCACTGCCAGTACGGCCAAGGACTCCACTGCACATGACCAGCAGAAGGAATCCACTCAGGCTTTCAAAAGAGATACCACTCCAATGCCCAAATACTACAAATCATGGGACAATTTTGATGAAAATGAAGCTATCAAGGAAATCGAAGGAGCCGAGGCTCCTGCCTTCCCGCCTGAATACGAGGGACTGACCGAAGAAGAGATCAAGGAAAAGGAAAAGGAGAAGTTTTTGAAAGGAACAAGCGGAGCAAAACCTAATACGCAGATTGTGATTAAGGGAGGCAATGCACCCACTCCGCAGTTGAATATCGAGCATATGAAGAAACAAGGCAATAGTTTCTTCACTTCTCTGGAATTTGAGAAAGCGATCGAGTGATACACGAAATGTCTTAGAATGAACCCTGAAGACATTGGCATGAAAGTTGTACTATATTCAAACAGAGCCCAGTGATATTTGAATCTCAAGAATTATGTTGATGCTAATAGGGACGCTCTTTCAGCCTTACGTCTGGATAGTGCACATGTCAAATCTCTGTTTAGGTACGGAACCGCCTTGTACTATTTGAAGAAGTACAAACAAGCTAAATTAGAGTTCAGTAATTTGCTCAGAGTAGACCCACATAACAAAAATGGACAGCAATATCTCAGACACACAGAGGAGAAGCTGGCCAAGATAAAACTGGAAGCTTATGAAAAGCTATACTTAGGAGAGATAATCGGAGACAGTACAAGCATTGGCAAGAATGTGATTCAGGTTGAAGAAATCAATCTTGATTCGAAGCTTGCTCAGAATACTCCCAAACTTGCTGATGCTCCTATCGAGGAACCTGCTGCTCCTCAGGAAGAAACATCTCCTCTTGAAAGAGAATCTAAGACTGAATTCTTATCAAAGACAGATGTCAGCAATATCCATAGAGATAAGGAAGAGGACAAGAAGATTGATGACTTCATTGAGAACTCTGAAGAACAGGAAGAACTCAAACGATTAGAACAAGAAAGGAAAAGCTCTAAAAAGGGTAAAAAGAAGCGAGGAAAAAGAAAGAAGAAATCTAAAGAAAGCACTTCAGATTCTGCATTCAAGAATGATACTGGTGTCAAAAATGGCGGTCATGGGGCTCATGTCCAGTCCAATACTTCTGCAGAGGGTCAAACTCTCTCAAAAGAAGGTGTTCTAGAAGAAAACCATAAAGAAGCGACCAGTGATAGGTCTAAGATAAATTTTGCTTTTGGTTCAAATGGCGGAGAAGATGCTGAGAACCAGAAGAAGGTACTCAAGAGACAGCATGAAATTATCGCTGAGCAAGAGGAAGAATCACTAGAAGCTGATGCTGATGAGGAGTCAAAAGAAATTGACAGCATTGACCTCTCAAATGGCCATGAAATCCATGAAGATAGAGATACGAGTCCCTTCCAGCGGAAGATCCGGGAGGAGTGTAATAAAATAAAGGAGAACATTGTTTACAACTCAGAAGAGGAAGATCTCGATATCGTAAAAAGCGAGGAGGGGCAATTCTATAGCATCAGGTTCCAGAAATCCCCATCTGTTAGGTCCATTCTCAAGAAGAAGGACAGTGAGATTAATACTGATAAGTCAAGTGTAGTGAATTTCGACCTGCATGATAATGAAATCAGAGATTTTAGGAAGAACGATAAGCTCAACACCAGAATTTTGAATCAACAATTGACTGGCAGAAACTACAATGCTGCTAAAAATTCAAATAAGAAGAAGGGCAAGAAGCATAAAGGCAAAGGCAAGAAGAGGAAAAATGGTAAGATTACATCCAAACACAGGATTTATCTCTATAGTTGACGAAGAAGCCGAATCCAAGAGGAAGATGGAACGAGCAGAACGGAAAAGGAAAGAGATTGCCGAAGCTGAACAACTTGCCACTAAAGGTTCGATTAATTTTGATAACATTGAAGAAATGGATGTTGATGATGATTTTGATTTCAATGATGACCTTGAAGTATGAACTGCTCCAAAAACTACAAAGTTTCATTCAGAAACACTTATGGATATGAATAATCCCTTCTCTTCTGAAAGTCCACAGCAGCCAGCAGAGGAAAATCCCGATGTGAAGAAGTTAGCTTCGAGTCCTAAAGTTGGAGGTAAGGAGAATTGCTACGAATTTCATGGTAGATTTTGTTGCAAAGCTATTATTGAGACCTGCATGCAATCTTTCATTTAAATTAAAAGAAAATACCTAAATTACTCATCATTTGATATAGATGGAGCATCAATGCCATTTTCGGAAAAAGCCAAGCCATTATTGGTTGAGGAGGTTAAATTTGAACTTGACTATGAAGTTCCCACAAAATCAGCTCAGTTGGAGGCAGATATGAGGAACATGAGGGGAGATTTAGCCATTCAGCGAGCATACCTTCAGCGCATTGAGCCAGACAGCCTTGTCTCTATCTTCTCCAGCTCCATAGAACTAGACACAGTGCTTGAAATATGTAAGGCCTTCTCGAGTGGTTCTAAGGACTGGATTCGTGAGAACTGAAATTACTTGATAAACTTCTACTCGAACCTATCTAAGATTGACAGGTTTGGAATAACAATCGAGTTCCTTTGTGATGATGAAAAAGAAGATATTTATAAGGTCACCACTGAGCTTAAGAAAATCGTTGAGGACAAAAAGGCAGGAGAGAAGGACAGCAAGGAAGAAACCAAGGAGCAGCTCTTGGAGAAATTGACCAATTTTGTTGAACTTTTCGACTAAAATAGAGTATTTATGCTTTTCAGCAGGTGAAATAGTTCAATAAACTTGATCTTGGATGGGGTTTTGGGGTTTTGGGGTTTTGGGGTTTTGGGG